GAATCTAAAAAGTAAACTAAGCAAACAGGCAGAAGAGAAACAGAGTCATAGATATGGAGATCATTTGGAGGGTTATCAGTTGGGAGGGGTAAGGGGGAGAATGGGGGAAAATGAGGGGGGGATTAAGAAGTACAAATTGGTAGATACAGAATAGACAGGGGAAGTTAAGAATAGTATAGGAAATGGAATAGCCAAAGAACTTATATGTATGACCCATGGACATGAACTAAGCAGTGGGGGGATTGCTGGAGGGAATGGGGGTACTAGGTGGAGGGAGGCAAAGGAGAAAAAATTGGGACAACTGTAATATCATAATCAATAAAATATATTTTTATAAACCTTACAACAGAAATACAATGGGAATAAAGGTAGGTATTACCTATCAAACTGATAGCCAGGAAAGTAACTAGTAGAGAGGCTTTGACTAATAATTCACTAAACTGATTCATTGTTACAAAACTTTTTTAAAGATATCATATACATGCACACACATGCTACTAAAAAACCAAGACGGAGGTGTTTAAAAAATTCAAATAACCTGAGGAAAGCAAGAAAAGAGAAACAGAAACCAGAGCAATGAAAACAAATAGGAAATAATAAAATAACAATAGCAAGTGCTGATATATTGATAATTTAAATGTTAGTAGTCTAATTACACTAATAAGACATATTTGCAGAGTGGATAAAAGAACAAAATAGAACTATATACAACATACAAGACATTCATACTTCAAGTACAACATAGGTAGATTGAACAAAAAAGGATGGAAGAAAAGTTATACCATTCAAATATTAATAAAAAGCTAGAGTGGCTATATTAATATTTGATAATGTAGGCTTCACAGCAGAAAGAATTTACATAATAAGGGATCAATCCACCAGGTAGACATAGATCCTACATGGATGCATACAAACTAAGACAACCCTTAGAGTATATGAAACTAAAACTGAGAGAGCTGAAAGGAAAAATAAACAAATCGACAAATGTAGTTGATCTCATAGCCTCCCTCTCAACAACTGAAACACAAAATCAGCAAGCACAGAGAAGATCTGAACAACACAACCAACCAATAGAATCTAACTGACAAACACTTCCTTCAACAACAGAATATACATTTTTTCCAGTGCCTATGAAACATTTATCAAAATAGACTATACATTAGGCATTAAAACAAACCTCAACTAACGATCCTTGGTATTTCTGCGGTATCAGTTGTTATTTCTCCTCTTTCATTTCTGATATTATTAATTTGGGTCCTCTCCCTGTTATTCTTGATGAGTCTGCTTAAAGGCTTGTCAATTTTATTTATCTTTTCAAAGAACCAGCTTCTGGATTGGTTGATCCTCTGAATTGTTCTTTTCGTCTCTATGTCATTCAGTTCTGCTCTAATCTTGCTATTTCCTTCCTTCTACTTGCTCTGGGATTTATTTGTTGTTGTTTCTCCAGTTCTTGAAGTTGTAGTGTTAGGTCTTTTATTTGAAATGTTTCTATCTTTTTTTAGGTAAGCCTGTATTGCTATGAACTTCCCTCTCAGGACCACCTTTGCTGTGTCCCATAGGTTTTAGACTGTTGTGTGTTCATTTTCATTTGTTTCCAGAAATTTTTTGATGTCTTCTCTTATCTCATTATTGACCCATTCATTGTTTAATAGTCTACTGTTCAGTCTCCATGAGTTTGCAAGTTTTTTCCAAGGAGGAGATACAGAGGGCCCAGAGGCATTTGAAAGGATGCTCAGCATCACTAGCCATCAGAGAAATGCAGATCAAAACCACCATGAGGTACCACCTCACACTGGTCAGAATGGCCATCATAAACAGATCAACAAACAGGTGCTGGCGAGGCTGTGGAGAAAAGGGACCCCTGGTCCACTGTTGGTGGGAATGCAGACTGGTGCAGCCATTGTGGAAAACAGTGTGTAATTTCCTCAAAAAGCTGAAAATGGAACTGCCTTTTGATCCAGTGATTCCCCTGCTGGGACTATACCCTAAGAATCCCAAAATGCCAATTCAAAAGAACCTATGCACCCCAATGTTCATAGCAGCACAATTTACAATAGCCAAGTGTTGGAAGCAACCTAAATGCCCATCAGTAGATGATTGGATCAAAAAGTGATGGTACATATACACAATGGAATACTACGCAGCAGAAAGAAAAAAGAACTACTAAACTTCGTGACAGCATGGATGGAACTGGAGAGCATTATGCTAAGCGAAATAAGCCAGGGGGCGAAAGACAAATTCCATATGACCTCACCTATAAGCGGAACCTAACTAACAATACAAAGATGCAAGGCAAAAAGAAAAGCTCTTTCAGTGTTGCTGAAAAGCTCTTTCAGCAACACTGAAAGGAAAAGAAATCAACAGAGACAAGAGGGAAGGAGGGAGGGTGGGCAGGGAAAAGGAAGGGAAGGGGAAAGTCAAGGAACATATAGCAAGGACTCATGGACAAAACCAAAGGGTAAGAGCTCAGGAAGGGAAGGAGGGAGGGGGCAAGGGAAAGTGGTGGGGAGTAGGCAGAGACAAATGTATTTGAAAAAATAAATTAAAATAAAATTAAAAAACAAACAAACAAAAAAACAAAAAACAAACCTCAACTAATTTAAAAGAATTAAAATCCTATACAGTGTGTTCTCTGATCACAGTGGAATCAAACTAGAAATCAGTAAGAGAAAGATAATAGGAAAAAAATCTCTAAACACTTGGAAGGTAAACAATGCATTTATCAATAATCCATAGAGGAAGTTTTGAAGGAAGTAAAAATACTTAGAAATACATGAAAACAAAACCATAACAAATAAAAATATGTGAGATGCAGCTAAAACAGTACAGAGAGGGAAACTGATAGTACTAGCTGCTTACATTGGAAATGAAGAAAGATCTAATATCAATAATAGAATCTTAATCAATAATAGAATAAAAAAACCTGGAAACCTCAAGAAATAGAAAATAAAGAGCAAAAGAAACTAAAGGAGACAGAATGGAGGGAACAATAAAGAACAGAAATCAATGAAATTGAACATAGTAAAACATTAGAGAAAATCAATGGACAAAAAGCTGTATGTTGTAGAGGCAATAAATCTGATAAAACCTCTAGAAAGACTGAAAAAGACAGAGAGAGAGAGGGATGGAGAGAAAGAGAGAAGACAGAAATAAACAGAAGTATCAGGAATAAAATAGGGGACATTACTATAGCTCTTGCAGCTATTAAGAAGGTAATAAAAGAATACAATAAATAATTTTGTACTCATAATTTGACAACTTAGAAAAAAGGATCACTTCCTCAAAAACCACTAACTGCCAAAACTCAACTAAAATGAAATAGACAATATTAATAGCTCTAAAACCATTTTTAAAAGTTGAATTCTTTTTTTTTATTTTATTTTAATTTATTTTTTCAAATACATTTGTCTCTGCCTACCCCCCACCACTTTCCCTTGCCCCCTCCCTTCTTCCCTCCCTCAGCTCTTCCCCTTTGGTTTTGTCCATAAGTCCTTGCTATATGTTCCTTGACTTTCCCCTTCCCTTCCTTTTCCCTGCCCCCCCTCCCTCCTTCCCTCTTGTCTCTGTTGATTTCTTTTCCTTTCAGTGTTGCTGGTCATATTTTCCTTGCATCTCTGTGTTGTTGCTTAGGTTCCGCTTATAGGTGAGATCATATGGTATTTGTCTTTCACCCCCTGGCTTATTTCGCTTAGCATAATGCTCTCCAGTTCCATCCATGCTGTCGCGAAGTTTAGTAGTTCTTTTTTTCTTTCTGCTGCGTAGTATTCCATTGTGTATATGTACCATAATTTTTTGAATTCTTAATGAAAAATAAAACCTGGAAAAGAAATCTCAAGGCCTAAATGGCTCCATGATAATTTTATCAAATATTTAAAAAGGAACTACTCCAATTCCTTCTAGGAATAGAAAAGCAGGGATAAATGATCCATGTAGAAAATGGGCAAATCATGTGCACAGACTGAAAAGAATCTATAGATTGCAAACAAGCACATGAAAAGATGCTCAATATCATTAGCCATTGGGGGAATGCAAGTGAAAACCACCATGAGATATCACACACCTATGGCTAAGTGACAATACCACTGCTGGTGAGAATGTGGAGAAACTGGATTATACCTACATTGCTGGTGATGATGTAAAATGACACATCCACCCTGAGAAACAGTTCCATTACTATATGACCTAGCAATTGCATTCCTGGGCATTTACCTTGAAGAAATGAAACTTAAGTTCACATAAACCTTGTACATGAATGTTTATAACTGCTTTATTTGTAATATCCCCAGACAGGAAGCAACCTAAATATCTTTCAACAGATGAATGGTTAAACCAACTCTGATATATCCACATCACCGAACACAATGCAGCAATGAAAAAGAATGAACTATTGATACATGCAAAAACTAAAATGAATCTCCAGGAAAACAGACTGAGTGAAAAAAACCCAATTGTTACAGGTTATGTACTATATGACTCCATTTATATAACATTTTTGAAATGACAGATTTTTGGAATTGGGGAATTCAGTGGTTTCCCAGGCTTAGGAAAGGTAGGTGTGGTTAAAAAAGAGCAATACCAGGCATCCTTGTGGGGATGGAAATGTTCTGTATCTTGACTGTGGTGGTGGAAACACAAAACTACTCATGTGATAAAATCGTACAGAACTACACACACATGCACACAAATAAATATAAGTAAAACTGGGCAAGCTGAATAAAATCATGGACTGTGTCAATGTCAATATCCTGGCTGCAATATTGCACTATTACATTTCACAAGATGTCACCATTGGGGGAACTGGGTAAAGGTTTGGCATATAGGAGTTCTCTATATTTTTTCTTCCAACTGCATGTGAATGGACAGTGATCTCAATAAAAATTTCAATTAAAAAAAACAGTTTTAAGCTTCTTTTATAACATTGCATGGGTTTAATTTTATTCTACTTTCTTGAATTGAAGGAAAACCAGTAATGAGATTCAAACCATTTTGTTCACTGATACCTGCATGGAGGACTTTCTTTTTCTGAATCTTTTGACTTGAAAGGTCCCCTGGTATTTTTGACATTTTTAGGGAGGACACCAGTGTTGCTTCAACATCAGATTGAGGATCTACACATTTTTCTGGGGTTGAAACCAAGGAACAGATTTCTTTCTGATGCCTGTTTTGAGTTAGATATTTTTAAAAGTAGACAAAAACAAAGAACAAAAAGAAAAAGAAAGGGGGAAACAAAATTTCCATTAATAAGGCACAGTTAGATCAATAGTCATATTGAAAGCTGCAAACTTAAAGAAGTGAGTCAACTGCACCCCCCCGCCCCCTGCCACCAGCCGCATTTAGATAATGTGTAAGAATAGCCCTTGATCCCTGCCCCATGCAGGAGAGTGGACAGGGACCCAGATCTGGAGTCATTAGCTATGACTCCCATTTCAGCTCTAGTCTTTCCTGGCTGTGTGACTCAGTGAAGTTGCTCAACACTCTAAAATTCACCATTTTCCTCATCTATCAACTGTGGGAAACTTGAGCTGTGCTTTGACCACATGGGGCCGATGTGAGGATTAACATGAGGAGAGCTGGTTATAAACCAGGACACTTGACAGAAACCCATTTCTCCAACCAAAGGGTTGAACAACCAACTCATAAAGGCCAGGGGAGGGAAACCCCTGCCTTGGACCCCCTGTGCCAACATCAGATCACAGCAAAAACATTCTGGTGAAGATCTGGGGACAGGAGGGACCTCAGAAATTCCCCAGTATTTTCCCAGACATACCTTCTCTGAAGCTCTGAACACAGTGGCCACAGAGAAGAGTTTCCAGAACAATCTCCTGCTCCAATAATGAACAGGCATGTCCTCCCTCCTTCACTCTCACCCTCTGCATCCCCATGCCTACCTCCATGGAGCACCCACCCAATGTCCATTATTCTCTGCGTGTCCCCAACCATACCACACATCCTGTGACAGAAAGGACCAGGCTTACATTTACTTGTGCTTCCCAGTTCTCCTGGCTCCCAATTTGAACTCAATAAATGTTTGAAAAAAAAGGAGGAAGGGAGAGGATATTTGGGGGCTATTTTTTTTTCAGTTGGTAGAAAACTAGAACAAGGCAATTTGTTTTCAACTGGAGCTAAATTGGTGAATAACTTCCTAATATTGTTATGTTACAAGGAAGTATAGAAGCATGATATCTGTAGAATGAGGCACTGTGTTTACTCTTTCCTTTGTGTTAATTCAGAGCTCTTATGTGCCAGGCATGCCCTCATTTAATCCACCCAACAATTCTATGAGTACCATTATTCCCATGTTATAGATGAGAAACTGAGGCTCAGCGAGGTTAAGTAACATGCAGCTATAGGGAAGCCTGGATAAAAACACTTGCCCACTTAACTCTGGAACCCACCCTTCCCAGGCCCCCCCCCCAAAAAAATGTATAAAAACTAGAATGCATCCGCTACTTAACCAATTGCAAGTACAGTCAACTGATCAAGCCAGCTTCCTGAGATTTCAGTTTGATTAAACTCAGGGACAAGGACAGTTGAGGTGCTGGCTGAAAGCATAGAGAAGGTGATTTACACTGAAGTGCTGCCAATTTACTTGATTCTTAATTTATTTTTTCAAATTATATCAATTTAGAAGATGTACCTGAGCTTTCCCAGTTTTAAAATAATACTGTAAAAATCTTATTTTAAAAGATGCCCAGAATAGCATTTATCTTGCTGTACTGATTCTGTGCTCATACCCTGCTCCTAGCCCATGTTAATGCTCATTTTGCCAATAGGAAGATAGTGAATTTTGATAAAGAGGATTTTGCTATTACTCTTTTCAATAAAAAATCCTCCTGATAAAGTTTTTCCGACCTGGGCCGGTTCACCCCTCCTTAGGCAACCTGGTGGCCCTCCGCTCCCGGGAGGTCACCATATTGATGCCGAACTTAGTGCGGACACCCGATCGCATAGCGCACTACAGCCCAGAACTCCTGGGCTCAAGCGATCCTCCTGCCTCAGCCTCCCGAGTAGCTGGGACTACAGGCGCCCGCCACCACGCCCGGCACCTCCTGATAAAGTTTTTATATGAAGCTGTAATACTTTAATATCTGCACAATGCTAAATCATTTTAATAAGATTTGACACATTTTTTGAATGTTGGGGTGATTTTGATTTTGTTGTTTAAAAACTATTAATTAGAAGATTATCAGAATATAGAGTGGGAAAAGAATCAAGAAATCATCTATCTCAAATCCTACCACTATACTTGCCATTTCAAAGATGAGGAAACAGAGACCCACAACAATGGATAGGACTGGAGAGAAGGTATGAATTTGCCAACATTCTGAGTGAAATCCGGACCTTGGAACCCCTGGCCCTGAGTCAGGTCTCCTTCACCACACATACTCCTGCTCTGCTCTGTCACTGCCTGGGTTGGGGGCATGTTTACACTGGGTGCTGATAAAACTAGCACTGCTTTCAGGTGCCATGCAAGGACTTCAGAACTTACTTATCAAGGTGAACATGTGGCCTCCTTAAGCCAATTGTTATTAAATTATTAGATTATAAATTTTCTGTGCTTATAAAAAAACTCCTAAAATAATCATACCATGTGATTCTTTTCAAAGAAATATCAGAAAGCATTACAGAAGGAAGAAGTGTCAAGGAGAAGGAGCAAAAAGCATCAGAGAGGACCACGGTGAGGGGAACGGGCAGTTTGGCATGCTCACTTGTCTCCTTCCTTTTCACCGTTGTACCACCAGTCCATGATCAAGGACTCAGAATAAAGATTTTGCATCTTCTCCAGGTCACTGCGTCCTTGTTCCATTTCCTTAATTAAAAGAGTGAGATCTTCATTCTGTCAAATGAGACGTGAATACACTATGAGATTATATAAGTTCACACTGCAAACATTTATTTTTTAAAAATATTTTATTTATTTATTTCAGAGAGGAAAAGGAAGGAAGAGAGGAGAAACATTCATGTAAGAGATAAACATTGATCAGTTGCCTCTTGCACCTGCCACAATGGGGGACCAGGTCTGCAACCCAGGCATGTACCCTGGCTGAGGATAATCTGGTGACCTTTCGCTTTGCAGGATGACACCCAACTAACTGAGCTATACCAGTCAGGGCCACACTGCAATATTTCTAACACAAAACTAAGTGTATCAGGAAAAGAAGAATCTAAAGAATTTCTTGTAGTTCTCACATTATTGCATTTTTAAACAGCTTTAATGAAGTATAATTTACATACAATAAGTGGAATGCATGGAAAGTGTACTATTTCAATAGTTTTGACATTCACACCTGTGAAATCATCATTGTAATCAAGACAATAAACATATCCATCATCCCCAAAAGTTTCCTCATGCTGCATTGTAAATCTATTCTCCCCGACCTCAAAACCCCTCTACCTCCATTCCCAAGCAGCTACTCATCTGCTTTCTGTCATTATACATTAATTTAATTTTCTAGAATTTTATATCAATGGAATCATATAGTACATACTCTTTTTCATCTAGCTTCTTTCACTTACATAATTATTTTGAGATTCACTCATCTAGCATGAATTAATAAAGAATTCATCCATTTTCATTGCTCAGTAGTGTTACATTGTACATTGAATACCAACATTTAATCACCTATTGATGGACATTTGAGTAATTTCAAGGTTTGGCCTATTATAACTAAAGCTATGAACATTTGTGTACAAGGCTTTGTATGGACACTTGCTTTCATTTCTTTTAGGAAATTATCTAGGATGAAATGGTTGAATCATATGATTGGTGATGTTAAGCTTTTAAAGAAACTACTAAACTCTTTTCCAGAATGATTGTACTAATACATATTCCACCAGTAATGTTTGAGTGTTCCAGTTCCTCCACATTCTTGCAAATACTTGGTATGGTCAATCATTTAAATTTTACCCATTCTAACAGCTGAACAGTGGTATCTCATTCTGGTTTTAATTTGTATTTTCCCTAATAATTAATAATGTTAAGCATTTTTCATGTTCTTATTTGCCATGCATGTATCTTCTTTGGTGAAATAACTGTTCAAATATTTTTTCCATTTTTTGAGTTTCCTTATCATTGAGTGTGTGTGTGTGTGTGTTTGTGTGTGTGTATACATATATATATATATATGAAAGTCCTTTATTAGATATACAATTTGAAGATAATTTCTTGCAGTTTACAATTTGTCTTGTCTTTTTTTTTTATTGCTCTTCAATTACAGTCATCCCAATTTTCCCTCCAGTTGCTCTCCCCTGCCCTCTTCATCCCGCCCCTTCCCACCTTCAATCCTACCCGCTTTGGTTTTGTCCATAGGTCCTTTATAATTGTTCCTTGAGGACCCTTCCCCTTCTTTCTTCCATTATTCCCCCCTCCTCTCCTCTCTGGTGACTGTCAGTTTGTTCTTTATTTCCATGTCTTTTGTTCTATTTTGCTCACTTGTTTGTTTTGTTGATTAGGTTCCACTTATAGGTGAGATCATAAGGTATTTTTCTTTCACTGCCTGGCTTTTTAACTTAGCATAATACTCTTCAGCTCCATTCATGCTGTTGTGAAGAGTAGGAGTTCCTTCTTTCTTCCTGCTGCGAAGTATTCCTTTATGTAAATGTACCACAGTTTTTTGATCCACTCACCTACTGATGGGTACGTAGGCTGTTTCCAGCATTTGGATATTGTAAATAACACTATATGAACACTGGGGTGCATAGGTTCTTTTGAATTGGTGTTTCAGGATTCTTAGGGTATAGTCCCAGCAGGGGAAACACTGGATAAAAAGACAGCTCCATTTTTAGTTTTTAAAGGAAATTCCTTACTCTTTTCCACAGTGGCTCCATCAGCCTGCATTCCCACTGACAGGGTTCGCACTAGGCTAGTGTACTAGGGTTCCCTTTCCTCCACAACCTCACAAGCACTTGTTTGTTGATTTGTTTACAATGGCCATTCTGACTGGTGTGAGATGGTATCTCATTGTGGTTTTAACTTGCATCACTTGATGGCTAGTGACACTGAGCATCCTTTCATATGTCTCTCGGCCCTGTGTATGTCCTCCTTGGAAAAGTGTCTGTTCAGATCCTTTGCCCATTTTTTAATTGGGTTGTTTGTCTTCCTGGTGTGGAGTCGTGTGAGTTCGTTATATATTTTGGAGATCAAACCGTTGTCTGACGTATCATTGGCAAATATATTTTCCCATACAGTTGATTCCCTTTTCATTTTGCTGATGTTTTCTTTAGCCGTGCAGAAGCTTTTTAATTTGATGTACTCCCTTTTGTTTATTCTTTCCTTGTAGCTCTTGACCCAGGGGACATATTGGTGAAAATATTGCTGTGTGGGATATCTAAAATTTTCCTGCCTATGTCCTCTTTTTGGACTTTTATGGTTTTGTGACTTATATTTGAGTCTTCTATCCATCTTGAGTTTATTTTGGTATAAGGTTTAAGTTGGACATCGAGTTTCATGTTTTGCCTGTACCTCTCCAGATCTCCCAATACCATTTGTTGAAGAGGCTATTTTTACTCCATTTTATGCTCCTGCCCCCTTTGTTGACTATTAATTGACCATAGGGACATGGGTTTATTTCTGGGCTCTCTATTCTGTTCCATTGATCTATGTGTCTGTTCTTATGACAGTACCAGACTGTTTTGATTGCAGTGGCCTTGTAATATAGTTTGATATCTGGTATTGTGATCCTTCCTACTTTCGTCTTCTTTCTCCAGATTACTTGAAGCTATTGGGGGTCATTTATGGTTCCATATAAATTTCTGAAATATTTGTTCTATATCTGTAAAATATGTCATTGGTATTTAGATAGGGATTGCAGATTTAAAGATTGCTTTGGGTAGTATGGACACTTTTATGATGTTAATGCTGCCAATCCATGAGCACAGTATATGCTTCCATCTATTTGTGTCTTCCTCAATTTCTTTCTTCAGTGTTCAGTGCTCAGTTTTCTGAGTATAGGTCTTTTACCTCCTTGGTTAGATTTATTCCTACGTACTTTATTTCTCTTGTTGCTACACTAAAAGGGATTTCCCCCCCTAGTTTTGCTTTCTGGTATTTCATTGTTAGTGTACAAAAATGTCTTCAAATCTGAATATTGAGTATGTATGCCACTGTTATGCCAAATTCACTTATTAGGTTGAGCAGTTTTTTGGTGGAGTCTGTAAGGTTTTCTATGTATACTATCATATCATCTGCAAATGAGGGCAGTTTTACTTCTTCCTTTCCAATTTGGATGCCTTCTATTTCTTTTTCTTGTCTGCTGTGGCTAGGACTTCCAATACTATGTTGAATAGAAGTGGTGAAAGCAGACACCCCTGTCTTGCTCCTGATCTTTGGGGGAAAACTTTCAGTTTTTGCTTGTTGAGTATTTGATGTTTCTCACATACAGCCTTGATTATATTGAAGTATGTCCCCTCTACTCCTACTTTATTGAGTGTTTTTGTCATAAATGTGTACTGTACCTTATCAAATGCTTTTTCAGCATCTATTGATATGACCATGTAAATTTTTTCTTTCATGTTACTTTTGTGGTATATTACATTTATTGATTTGTGAATATTGTACCATCCTTGCATCTCTGGGATGAATCTCACTTGATTATGGTGGATGACCTTTAAATGTACTACTGGATGCGGTTTGTCAATATTTTGTTGAGAACTTTAGCATCTATGTTCATCAGCGATACTGGCCTGTAGTTTTCTTTCTTTTTTGTGTCTTTATCTGGTTTTGGAATTAGGATAATATTGGTCTCATTAAAAGAGTTTGGGAGTCTTCCCTCTCCTTGGATATTTTGGAATAGTTTGAGCAGGACAGCAGTTAGCTCTTCTTTAAATGTTTGGTCTCCTATGAATCCATACAGTCCAGGGCTTTTTTGTACCAGGAGCTTTGTGCTTACTGCTTCAATTTTACTAGGTGTTATCAGTCTATTCAGGTTTTCTGCTTCTTTCTGATACAGTTTTAGAAGACTATGTGTTTCTAGAAATTTGTCCATTTCCCCAGGTTGTTAAATTTCTTTTTTTTTAAATTGTTGTTCAAGTACAGTTATCTCCATTTCCCCCTGCCCCACCAATCCGCACCTTCCACTGTTGATCCTGCACCCTTTGGCTTTGGCCATGTGTTCTTTTATACATGTTCCTGGGTGACACTTCCCTATTTTCCCTTATTATCCCTCTCCCCTCTGGTTACTGTCCATTTGTCCTTTATTTCAATGTCTCTGGTTAAATTTTGATTGCTTATTTGTTTTGTTGATTAGTTTCCACTTACAGGTGAAATCATATGGTATTTGTCTTTTACTGCTTGGCTTATTTCACCTAGCATAATGATCTCCAGATCCATCCATGCTGCCGTGAAAGGTAGGAGCTCCTTCTATCTTTCTGCTGTGTAGTATTCCATTGTGTAAATGTACCATAGGTTTTTTCCCCCCAAGGACAAGAACATTCTCTTATTATAATGAACAAAAGTTCAGAAAAAGTAACTTTGATGTGACAGTGTTATCAAATCTACAGTCCATATTTAGATTTCACCCCGATCTAGAATCCAATCCAGGATCATACATTGCATTTAGTTGTCATGCCTCTTTAATTCTTTTAATCTAGAAAATTCCTCTAGCTTTCCTGGTCTTTCATAACATTGGCACTTTTCAGGCCAGTTGCCTCTCAGTTGTATTTTTTTTTAATTTTTCAAAACACTTGTCTCCATTTACCTGCCACCACTTTCACCTGTCCTACCCATGCCCAACACCCTCCCTCAGTCCTTCCCCACCTTGGCTTTGTCCATGTGTCCTTCACACCTGTTCCTTGATCTGACCCTTCCCCTTCCCCATCCACTCCCCGCTACCCACCTCC